TAATTTGCCAGTTCACTAGGATCTAGTTGTGGTTTCTTAATAAGAGGCTTAATAACTGCCAGCTTGAATGGTTTTGGCATGTGACCTAAAGACAATGACGAGTTAATAATATTGAGAAATGGTTCTTCTGCTACAGGTAACAACTCTTTCAGTAATTTAGTGTGGTGGCTGGAACAGTAGTTCTGCCCGGACGATAATGCGGAGCCATATAGTTAATATCAGTAATATGATTTCTGAGTAACATTGAGAATATCACTATATATTGTTGCAACACCGCCACCACGACCAGTTTGACGGGGCTTATGCTTTTAACAGTAGCTTGGTGGAGTAGACTCATTTAGACCAATATAATAATTTGGTTTTAGCCAAGTTTCAGTCACGCAGAGTACATCAAAACTATTATCTGTGATCATTTCATTTACAATAACTGCTTTGGGTGCGAGTGATCTAATGTTTAGGAGCCCAAATTTAAACAATTGTTTTTGTTCATTTATTTGACATTTTTCTGGTTTAACCACGATCAGATTTTTTCTAGATCCTGCATTAAATTTATATTTTGACCTCACTATCGGTGGAACACACACAGTCTTTAGCATCCTGGAGATGTTGTCCGACAGGTGTTCTGCTCCGACTCTTATGGGGTGCAGGCCATCAGCGCGAAAAAGCCTAGGATGCTCCCAGAAAAGATTTAAATTATTAACAAAGAGCAGTTCCTGTTCTTTACACCATGACAATAACCATTAGTTTAAAGCAAAAAAGTCTACTGAACCTTTTGTGTCCTCGTCGATACGTGGGAAGAGGACCTGACACGGTGATCGTTGTCGCGGGCGATGTGCCGTCTCAATCAGGCTCCTGAAGTCCCTCTTCAGTGAGACGGATCAGGGAAATCAGATGTTCAGTCCTCCTGGTGGCCCCACTCTGGAGGAACCAGGTGTGGTTCCCCGAGTTGATTCAACTGCTATCGGCAGCCCCTTGGCCGATACCACTGAGGAAGGACCTTCTCTCGCAAACGAAGGACATGATTTGGCATCTCCGGCCAGAGCTGTGGAGCCTTCACATTTGGCCCCTCGCTGGGAGCCTTTACAGCTTTACAGTAACTACCATTTTAGAGGCTGGAGCTCCATCTACTTTACACCCTTAAATGGTCAGTCTTTTCTGACTGGTGTGCAGCATGGAACGAGGACCCATCATCGTGTGACGTGTCCTACGTGCTAACCTGCAAGAGCTGCTGGATAAGGGGCACACCCCTTCCACGCTCAATGTATATGTAGCGGCAATCACAGCTAATCATTCAATCGTGGCTGGCCAGTCAGTTGGAAGAAACAACCTAGTCGTTAAGTTTCTGAGGGGAGCTCGAAAATTGAATCTTCCTCGCCCTCATACTGTGCCGAATTAGAACTTATCTATAGTCCTTAGGGCCCCGTGAGGACCTCCCTTTGAGCCACCTCAGTCTGCCGACTTGGGGCCCCTGTCGCTTAAGACCGTCCTCCATCTGGCTTTAACGTCTGTCAAGCAAGTGGGTGACCTGCAAGCACTGTCAGTCAGTGCTTCCTGTCTTGAGTTTGGGCCTAACATCTGTAGAGTTGTCCTCAAACCGAGACACGGCTAGGTGCAGAAAGTGCTCTCCACTCCGTTCAGAGCAAAATGTATTACCCAGTACAGAAGGTGAGCAGGGTCCTAATCCATTCTGCCCATTTCGGGCTCTTAAGAGTGTATGTTGTGCGCTCTGGCCCATTTAGGCACTCAGAGCAGCTCTTTGTATTCTTCGGTGGCTGCTCTAAAGGGCTGCTGGTTACGAAGCAGAGACTATCTCGCTGGAGAGTCAATGGTATAGCCCTGGCTTATGCCTCAGCGGGCTTGCAGTGCCCTATAGGTGTGAGAGAATGGCCTCCTCCTGGGTGTGGTCCAGCGGGATTTCTATTGGTGGCACTTGTGCGGCCACCGGCTGGTCATCGCCATCTGCCTTCACTAGGTTTTATAACTTGGATGTCCCTGCCCTGCAGGCATGGATCTTGTCCACTTAACTCTACCTAATCCCCTTTGTAAGTGGAGAGGGTTATGTTATGTAGTCCCCAGCCTATGCGGGTTGGATCTCATTATTGCCTCATGCTTACAGGAGCCCTCAGTACGGTACGCAGAGCACTTCGTTCTGCACTCAATTATAGCACGACGGTATTGGATGCGTTCCCCAAAAGCATTAGCGATGCAACGGGAGAGACCGTTCGAAAGGGAATGCTCTGCTTACTAACATAACCTCGGTTCCCTGAGATAAGTAACAGTTCAAGTAACAGAGTAAACAGGAGATTCCCCAAAAGTGTCAGCAAGTGACTGTCTCTCCTCTGAACATACGCTGATCTGGTGTAACTTTCACTTCAGGTTTTGTTCTCTCTGTATTAATACTAGGGCTGCACGATAAATCGCATGCGATATTTAACGCGCATCTTATCAGTAAAGCCGGTTCTGTAATCAGCGGTAAATCTCCATCACCTGCGGGCTTTCACATTGAGCAGCATTAACTACACAGAGCCGTTGTTCACTGACGAGCTGCGCAAAACCACGTTCATATTCGCACGATTTTTTGCGCAGCTCATCAGTGAACAACGGCTCTGTGTAGTTAATGCTGCTCAATGTGAAAGCCCGCAGGTGATGGAGATTTACCGCTGATTACAGACCCGGCTTTACTGATAAGATGCGCGTTAAATATCGCATGCGATTTATCGTGCAGCCCTAATTAATACACATATGAGTAAATATCGGTAGAAACAGCATCATGCAACAGCATTATGAACATATGACAAAAATACTGCATTAAATTTAAGATCTGCTTTGCTTATAAAATTTTGTAATTATTGGTAAAAAACGAAATAAAACATTGATATCCAGGCTACATTTATGTTCTTTTGTATTCACATATCACATGTGTGAATTGTACAGTGTTCTGTTTTACAGAAGCAGGCAGAATATAGCACTCCAAAAATGGTAAAAAATAGGGCATGTATTGTATTAATTTGAAGACATTTTCTGTATTTATTTTTTTGCAGGTGTTTTACCTGTATTTTGAATTTTACACTGCATTGGGTTGTGTTTTAGAGTTAACAGAAATGCCATACAATTACTGGATAATGTCTTGGCAGAATATCACCAGTATTTTCCTATCTTTCTTTTTTTTCTTGCTTTTTTTATTTATTCATTAATTAATTTTATTTTTAGGTTAGTACATCCTGAGCTGAATGTATTAATATTTTCATTCTGAACGAAATCACAGTCTCTTGATTAGATAGTGATCATTATAGAATGAGTTTAGGACAGTGATATTCAACTTACCCTTCATAGTGAATGAAACAGCAGAGCTTGATTGTGATGATTTTGGTGTTTTATCTCTCTGTCCTCTACACCAGTACTGACCCTGATCAGATGTAATGGCTTTCACAATACTAAGAGTGTTTCCATCTACGCTGTAACGGCTACCTAATCCCCTTTGTAAGTGGAGAGGGTTATGTTATGTAGTCCCCAGCCTATGCGGGTTGGATCTCATTATTGCCTCATGCTTACAGGAGCCCTCAGTACGGTACGCAGAGCACTTCGTTCTGCACTCAATTATAGCACGACGGTATTGGATGCGTTCCCCAAAAGCATTAGCGATGCAACGGGAGAGACCGTTCGAAAGGGAATGCTCTGCTTACTAACATAACCTCGGTTCCCTGAGATAAGTAACAGTTCAAGTAACAGAGTAAACAGGAGATTCCCCAAAAGTGTCAGCAAGTGACTGTCTCTCCTCTGAACATACGCTGATCTGGTGTAACTTTCACTTCAGGTTTTGTTCTCTCTGTATTAATACTAGGGCTGCACGATAAATCGCATGCGATATTTAACGCGCATCTTATCAGTAAAGCCGGTTCTGTAATCAGCGGTAAATCTCCATCACCTGCGGGCTTTCACATTGAGCAGCATTAACTACACAGAGCCGTTGTTCACTGACGAGCTGCGCAAAACCACGTTCATATTCGCACGATTTTTTGCGCAGCTCATCAGTGAACAACGGCTCTGTGTAGTTAATGCTGCTCACAGGTGTTTTACCTGTATTTTGAATTTTACACTGCATTGGGTTGTGTTTTAGAGTTAACAGAAATGCCATACAATTACTGGATAATGTCTTGGCAGAATATCACCAGTATTTTCCTATCTTTCTTTTTTTTCTTGCTTTTTTTATTTATTCATTAATTAATTTTATTTTTAGGTTAGTACATCCTGAGCTGAATGTATTAATATTTTCATTCTGAACGAAATCACAGTCTCTTGATTAGATAGTGATCATTATAGAATGAGTTTAGGACAGTGATATTCAACTTACCCTTCATAGTGAATGAAACAGCAGAGCTTGATTGTGATGATTTTGGTGTTTTATCTCTCTGTCCTCTACACCAGTACTGACCCTGATCAGATGTAATGGCTTTCACAATACTAAGAGTGTTTCCATCTACGCTGTAACGGTCAGACGTCTGTAACATTACACTGTCTGTGCCTTTATACCACTCATATCTCCACTCAGCTGTCCAGTCAGGTCTTCTGTCATTTGTCAGGACATTTCTCTGTCTCCAGTTACTGTAAGACTCAATCACACACTTCAGATTGACTGTCTCTCCAGTGAATACAGGACTGTCTGGTGTCACAGTCAGTGTAGATCTGGGTAAATCTGTTAATAACAAAGTAAAAAAAAAATAAAGGTAACAAAATAATAAAGTTTATACATTATCTTTTATTTAATTTCATAACATTTGTTCTGTTTTGCTTTTACACTGTCATTAGTTTCCTCATTCTTCAGAAGAATGTGCACCCCTTATTACTGACCCGAATCAGATGTTTCAGATCGTTCAATAGTGAGAGTGTTTCCATTTACAGTGTAATCCTCAGACATTTTAGTGCCGTCTTTATACCACTCATATCTCCAGTTACTGCAAGGCTCAATCTCACACTTCAGATTGACTGTCTCTCCAGTGAATACAGGACTGTCTGGTGTCACAGTCAGTGTAGATCTGGGTAAATCTGTTAATAACAAAGTAAAAAAAAAATAAAGGTAACAAAATAATAAAGTTTATACATTATCTTTTATTTAATTTCATAACATTTGTTCTGTTTTGCTTTTACACTGTCATTAGTTTCCTCATTCTTCAGAAGAATGTGCACCCCTTAAATCCCCATTCAAAAAGAACACGTAACACAGGAAAAGAACATACATGCACTTAAAATCACACCTGAACAGAGCATAATTCAGTCTTCAGACTTCCTGAGGATCAGTTGTAGTATAAATTGCACAAAGACTGGACCTTAAATAAATAGACCTTTTTCTACTTACACACAGGTGAGCACAAATGCACACAGACACAAGCACACACACTCGAAGTTACATGCCTAAACTTTTATATGTCCTTATATGCATCTCCTCGTCCCGCCACCATTTTTAACGTATTATGCAATATCTAAATTAATAAATAAATAAATACAAAGACAATAATTAAATGGAATTATAGACAACACATTGGGGGTTCGCCAGTTGGTGGTTGGGACATGGTGCTACAACTTTAATGGTTCAAAATGGCTTCCAAATATCTGTCCACTTTAGTGGACGCCATGCATGTTAGGGTTAATCAAATAATCCAACACCAGGAAGCACAAGTGTAACACAACCAGCAACAGACAAAACCAAACAAATAACTCAGGATATGTGTCATGTTTTAAATATTGTATTTTATTTTAAAAAATTACTTAATTAATAATAACTAATAAACATGAATATCAAATGTGTGACCTGGATTCATTATTTTTATTTTATTTATTTTTTTGTGCACAATTGATATTTTTGAAGCTAAATTAAATCTGTTTAAACTTTCATTGTGGTTAATCCATAAGCAATACACAATGTTGCTATCCATGATACTGTCATGATGATGGTCTTGTGTTTCCCTGTTTTGTGTTTAAGGACATTTATGTATGTGTGTGTGTGTGTGTGTGTGTGTGTTCCCATTGTTTATTTGTTTAGTTCCCATTTCCCTTGTTGCCTTGCCTACCTTGTTTGTTTCCATAATTGCCCTGGTCTGTTACCATGGCTGCTCAATTGCCTACCCGTACTTCGCTAGCCCCTTGTTATCTTGTCTGTTTCTCTACTTTATTGTCTGGTATGGATGTGTGATACACATTTGTTTCAGTTCCTGTATTTGGTTCATCTTGTTCATTGTTGGATTTACTGTTGTCTTGTTTAAATAAGCTTTAAACTGCACTTGGTTCCAACATTCTGTTTTACTGAAACAGCCATGTTACAAAAACACCAGACCATTGATAGATCTAGTCGAATTAATTCAGCTTCACCAAGAAACTCATTGACTCGAGGCCCATCGAAGACTTTCTGGACATTTCTTATCTAACTGACCTGCCTGACTTTGCTCTCATTGATTTCTTCTGCCAGTGATCTGTAATGATCCTCGAGGATCACTGAGTGAGTTTCTAGAATTACACTCGTACGCCCTTTGTGTGACACTGATGTTAAAGAGGAGAGATGTGGAGAGGAGAGTAATGGTCTCTCCTCCGTCTGAACAATCACTATTTGTTTAATATGATTCAACATTAGATCATCTGAAACAATCATGACACTTACAGTGAACATGTATTTTTTTTTTTCTTTTTAACTTAATTATGTCATGTTACTCTGAGAACTTCACAAGCTTGTAGATTCAGTGTGTCTCATCTGAATAAATGATTATACATGTAGTAGAGTGAGCTTAGGAGGACAGAGACACTCAACTCACCCTTCACTGAGAGAGAAACAGCAGAGCTTGATTGTGATGAGACTGATCTTCCATCTATGTGTCCTTTACACGTGTACTGACCCGAATCAGATGTTTCAGATCGTTCAATAGTGAGAGTGTTTCCATTTACAGTGTAATCCTCAGACATTTTAGTGCCGTCTTTATACCACTCATATCTCCAGTTACTGCAAGGCTCAATCTCACACTTCAGATTGACTGTCTCTCCAGTGAATACAGGACTGTCTGGTGTCACAGTCAGTGTAGACGTGGGTAAATCTATTTAGAAAGACAAAAACATAAAGTGACTCAAATAGCACTTACAGTGAAAACAAATGTTACAAAACGTCTCCAGGTTACGTATGTAACCATGGTTCCCCGAAGGGAATGAGACGCAGCGTCCGAAGACACTAAGGGAACGCCCCCAGCGTGACCACACCCTGAATCACATGTGTAATCAGTCCAATGGAAGGGTGAGACGTCATAGGCCGGTGACGTAGCGACCAGGAAGCTTTAAAAGCACATGAGGTGGAACCAGCGTCAGCTTCTAGGAATGAAGCAAGCGCTCGCAGGGATGCCGGAAGAATGGCTCTGAGACGCAGCGTCTCGTTCCCTTCGGGGGAACCATGGTTACATACGTAACCTGGAGACGTTCCTCTTCAGGAACTTGAGCTGCGTCCGAAGACACTAAGGGAACGAGAATGCCCATGCCGTCAGACTTGCAAATCCCTGTCTAGTGTGGAAGAGCACAGCTAAGACAAAAGAACAGAAGAGCCAGGGGTGGCTCGCATATCAAGGCCATAGAACCTGGCGAAAGTGAGGGGCGTGGACCATCCTGCTGCGTTGCAGATGTCCTGCATAGACACACCTGCTAAGAAGGCCTTGGAGGCCGCCATACCTCGGGTCGAGTGAGCCTTGACTCCCAATGGTGTGGGGAGATCAGAGGACTCTTAGGCAGTAGTAATGGCATCAACTATCCACCGACTGAGGGTCTGTTTAGTAGCAGGACGACCCCTATTAGGGGGACCATAGCATACAAGCAGTTGGTCCACCCTCCTCCACAGGGCAGCTTTGTGGATGTATGCTCGCACTGGACACATGCAATTAAGCTTCTGCTGGTCTGGCTCCCTGAAGGGAGGAGGACAAAAGGCCTGCAGCACGATAGTCTGTGGTATAACAGAGGGAACCTTCGGAACATACCCCGCTCGAGGGTAGATAAACACTTTGGCCATGCCGGGCGCAAATTCTAAGTAGGAAGGGGCCACTGAGAGGGCCTGAAGATCTCCAACTCTCTTTAGAGAAGTAATAGCTAGAAGAAAAGTAGTCTTAATTGTCAGGAAGCGATCAGAGATTTCTTCAATAGGCTCGAATGGAGACTTACAAAGAGCTTCTAGCACCACAGCCAGGCCAAGTCTGTACCATAGCATCCAGCCCCAGTGGAGCCGGATGAGTCAGAGAGAACCAGAGGGGACAGTGCGATGTCGTCTGAGTCGCAAACAAGTCCACCTGAGCCTGGCCAAAAATTCTCCATATCTGCTTCACCACCTCGGGGTGAAGCCTCCATTCCCCGGGCCTCGGCCCCTGTCTCGACAGGACGTCTGCTCCCATATTCAGATACCCAGGAATATGCACTGCTCTCAATGACAGGATTTTGCCCTGGGACCACACAAGGATCTGGTGCGCCAGCTTGTACAAGGGGCGCGAACGCAGGCCTCCTTGGTGGTTGATATAAGAGACCACCACTGTGTTGTTGGTGCGCACAAGCACATGGCGATCTCTCAGGTCCGGGAGTAATCGTTTCAAAGCTCGAAATACAGCCAACATCTCCAGGCAGTTGATGTGCCAAGTGAGATGGCGACCGCTCCACAGACCGCGGGCAGGGTGGCCACTCATCACCGCACCCCAGCCGGTGAGGGACGCAACCGTCGCTAGCGTTACGCGGCGACAAGGAGCTCCCAGCACCGGGCCCTGAGACAAGAACCAAGGTTTCCTACACATGTCCAAGGCACGTAGGCATCGCCGCGTTACCTTGATCACGTGAAGCGGATTTTCCCTCGGGGAAAACCCCTTGGACTTGAGCCACCACTGTAGGGGTCTCATGTACAGCAGGCCAAAAGGTATCACGTTGGACGCAGCTGCCATTAACCCCAATAGTTTCTGAAACTGCTTGACAGTGAGTGACTGGCCTTCTCTGACTCTCTTGACTACCGTGGGGATCGACTCGATCCGAGCAAGAGACAACCGTGCCTGCATCGTGGTCGAATCTCACACCATGCCCAGATAGGTAATCCTCTGTAATGGAGAAAGGACACTTTTCTTGGTGTTTAGTCTTAACCCCAAGTCCTTCATGTGAGCAAGAACAACATCTCAATTTCGAACCTCCATCTGCTCCGATTGAGCTAAAATCAACCAATCGTCGATATCATTTAGTATGCGGATGCCCTGGAGTCGCAGTGGAGCCAGAGCGGCTTCCACACACTTCGTAAAGTGCGGGGTGAGAGTGCTAGGCCGAAAGGAAGAACTCGGTATTGGTAAGCTTCGCCCCTGAAAGCAAACCTCAGGAACTTCCTGTGAGTGGGAAGGATGGAGACATGAAAGTACATGATAGACTTGTAGGTCTATCGTAACAAACCAGTCCTCAACCCGGACTCCCTGTCATGAGGAAGGACCACCTCGATGGCCTTCTTCCTCGAGAGAGTGTTCACTTCCTGTTCTAATACCAGAGCCTGCTCGGGGCCCACGAGTGTGGTAAAGACCCCATTGAATGGTGGCGGAGGAGCGCCGAACTGAATGCGATAGCCTTTCTCTACAGTGTGCAGGACCCAACGAGATACATTTGGCAGTAGATTCAACGCTGCTAAATAATCTACTAAGGGAACCAGTCTCTCGAGACTGGGCTCTGGTGTACTTGTGGCTGCTAATTCGGTGCCCTGAAACGGAGGACCGGCAGGAGACGGCCGAACTAGCTGTTCTGGAGACCCCCGAAGGGGTAGCGAAGTCCCTGAACCTCTCAAGTCAGGGCCTTTTGGCCAAGGACTTCCTCTGAAGCACGACCCTCAGATCGGGCTTCGACTGCGAAGCCCTCGAACCAGAGCGCCGCTGACCTCGGTCCCATCACGGGGTAGCACGAGAAGCGACGCTCTGTTTTTGCTGCTCGTGGTATGAGGAGGAGGGGGTATGCCGCAGGAACGCCGCCGGCTGTTTATGGGCCTCCTGGTACCTGTCGACGACGGAATTGACACGTCGCCGAACAGGCCAGAAGGCGCAAGCGGGGCGTCCATGAGGAAGACCCTGTCATTTTCTTTAATATCTGACAGGGTCAACCATAAATGTCTCTCCGCTGCCACTAGAGCTGCCATAGACCGCCCAATGGCACATTTTATAGCTTCCTGGTCGCTACGTCGCCCGCCTATGACGTTTCGCCCTTCCATTGGACTGATTACACATGTGATTCAGAGCGTGGTCACGCTGGGGGTGTTCCCTTAGTGTCTTCGGACGCAGCTCGAGTTCCTGAAGGGGAACTATGTAGTTTCTAAATTTATTTTGTCATATTTCATAGCATATATTTTGTTTTGGTTTTGTCCTGTCATTAGTTCTCTGATCTCAGTGTTTTCTGGAGGCTCTGGCTCCGTCACGTCCTCAGACAAACGCCTCTGACTCGCCATAGAAAGCAGAATGAAGCTCCTGCTGAAGAAGAGCTGAAGACCTCCAAATACAACCTCATATGAGGAGCAACTGAATCTCAATCAACTTCAACAGTCTATCTGAAGACTTCATTAACTCATTAAACATTGTAACAGATTAATTCCTGAGTTGAAGTTAAAGGGATAGTTCACCCAAAAATTAATTCATTAATTACTCACCCTCATGCTGTTCCAAACCTGTGAGACCTTCGTTCATCTTCGGAACAGAAATTATGATATTTTGGATGAAATCCGAGAGCTCTCTGACCCTCCATAGACAGCAAGGGTCATGAAACTTTCAAAGTCCAGAAAGGTACCAAGAACATCGACAAAACATTCCACATGACTTCAGCTACGAGAATACTTTTGGTGCGCAAATAAAACAAAAATAACAAATTTATTCAACAATTCTTCTCCCCCGAGTTACCATCTACTGCCATTATCGAGATTAACACGACGCGTGATGCTGCTGACATAGAACATGCATGCGCTGCGCCTTGTTTACGAGCAGAGGAAAGCAAGCGCATGCGTTGTGTGTGTGCTGAATGCTCTGGGATGCTGCCCTGGAGTTTGTTTGAAGCGCAGAGAGCGCAACTTGGTTTTTGAACTGTGAAAATTACAATAAATACCCAGAGTCTCGATAAAGCCGACCCTGACTTCTTCCTTCCTTATCCGAACTACATCACAATCCTTGAGCTTGTCCAGAAAGCATCAGTCCCACAAGAAGAAACCACATGTGACAATTTTATCCAAAAGGACCTAAAATTATCTAATACGATCTCTTAGAATGTAGTTCTGAAAAAGATTAATGAGGCTAAGATATTTTAAATTATTTTGGATGAAACTTCAAATGTGTCACACTCACGAGCAAGTATCCTTTGTGGTCCGGTTTGTCCATCACATGCAAATAAAGGAGTGTTTCATCCAAGTGTGTCAGTTAAAAATCAACAACTGGCAGGACAACTGACTTGTTGGACATGATAATGGCCTTTCTTTCAGAAAATGGGTTGAATGCTGACATTATGTGGGGTAAAGCTTATGATGGTGCAACCTAGTGTTAGAGAAGACTGCTGAATCGAGTCCCCAATTTTTTATATATATTTAAATTTGAATTCTAGCAAGTGCCATGCTGCATTCATAGAAATGCAAAAGTTGTTATATGCTGGAGAGAAAACCTGGGAATTAAAACAGTGATCCACTAGGCCTGTCGAGAAAATGCTTTAAAAGCACAGCAGAGAGTCTTTTCTGCAGTTATGCAGCTGTTGGAAAAAAAAACTCAGACAACAATCCACCTGATCCAGCTGCCAGAGATGTTGTTTCAGATAATACATTTTGAGTTTATGCTTTCTTTGGAGGTGGCCAGCCCAGTCTTTCAGGAGGCTGCTGTTGCATCAGCTGCTCTTCAGCATAAAGATGTGGATCTGGCAGTGTCATACATAGTGGTGGAAGGAGTGCTAAAAAGGCTACTGGGACACTCAAGAACTAAGGGCAGCAAGTGAATTCAAGGTTGTGTTTAAAAAAGCAAAAGAGCAGGCTGGGGTTACTGAAATTGAGTTTCCTGACAAAATGCCTGGTGAGTCAAGACCCAGAAAATTA